TTTGAATAAGACTTTTATATCTAATTTGAACCAAACTTTTAATTAAGTTATAATTTTGGTTATCTAAAATTATTTAGATAATGTAGTTAATTAACCAAAATAATTGAAATGTATCATTATTCTTCACTTTTTGTCATTAAAAGATTTTTCTTTTTAATTTTGATTATTTCTAGTCATTTTCTTTATATTCCTATTTATAAATTTAACTAAAAAAAGAATAATTTTGTCCTAAAAAAATTATATAGCAGAAAAACCAAAAAAATTATATTAACAATTTTCAAATAATTTTGGATAATTTAGTGGTTTATATCAATAATTTTGAATATGAGTAGATAACCATATTCAAACTAAAATTAATTTTAGTCATTTTAATTTCATATAAATTTATCCAAATATTTAAAATATCCAAATCAAAATTTAAAAATCCGAGTTGAATATTTAAATAGTTTCAGTAATATTCAAAATATGCTCACCCTTGCCATACCAATTATTTTCCTATATCAATTACTTCTACCGAAAAATTAAACCAAACATGTTCCTAGGAAAGAACAACAAAGTAAATAAATGAAAAGAATTAAAAAAAGGTCTAAATTGAACTCCTTGGCGTATACGCGAAAACTCATTCTTATTCTTGCACATCTTTCTAAATTTTAGTTAGGAAATCATATATAATTAGAATTTCAACTGCTTCTGTTGGTCTCTCCAAAGAAAACTACTACCACTGTTGCAAAACTTAATAGTTACTACCTCTAGTGCATTTTATTACGTACTTGTTGTAATACATATTTTTAAATAATATTTTTTATAATATAAACAATAATTTTAAATTTTATTAAGAAAATAATTTTTATCCGTTTTATCTTTTAAAAATTAAAAAAAAATATTATTTTAAAATTATATCATTTTAATAAATACCTATTAAAAAAATTAAAATATCTTATTTTAAAAGTATGAATTATGATATTTTTTTATTTATTTTTTATTTTTTTAAAATAAAACGGATAAGTACTAACATTTTTTATTAATATATACTAATTTTTATTAAGTAATTTTACTTTATAAAAGAATTAATCATTCATATATTATAAGAAAATGCCACCTAAAAATAGGAATCCTGAGAAATAAAAAGAAGGAGATGCGGTAGTAACTCTTTTCACGAATCTCTTATTAGAAATGATGAGTGTTTTCGTGGTTAGAACGACAAAAGCTTGGTGTTCCCATCCATGGAACCGTTGCCGAATCTTATGATATTGGGATTGACCTAAATTCAGCATGTCTAGTGTGCTGTCTGTGTCACAAGAAAAGCCATTCCCTTCTCTATCAGTTTCATGATTTCTTCGGGGCAATTGAAGAGTCTTATGAACGTCAAAACGTGAGCATACTGTTTTGTGTCTTCTAAATAGGGTAATTAATCTCATTTTTCAAGTTTGAACTGTTTAAATTTTTTTATCAATTTTTATGGATTTTGAGATTAATTTTTTAAATAATTATAAAAATATATTTTATATTAACTTAATATATTTTTTAAAAATTATTTTTTTTAAATACTCGAGCCAGCATCATTATTATCTGGAGGGGTTGTTGGTCATCTTATTACTTGTTTGATTCGCAATCGATTCATGTTGAAGGTCAAAAGAAGTAATTTCCTGTGAAAACGAAAGGGAAATATTCTACATCTTGAATCATGGTCTTTAATTGCTGGAACACATGCTGATGAAGTATCCTGCAAGGTTCGTACTTTCTTCTAAATGTTGGCCATTTTTTATGTCAATATCTTTTACATTTCTAAATTGATTGCTTTCCTTGAGATTGCTGTGTGGAAGTATAATATTGTGGTTGTTGATTGTGCCTATGGTGTACGGTGTTATTGAACGTAGGGATAGCAATTTTTTTTCATAATTTGTGGAGTTTTGTAGGTTTTTTACAGTAAAATAGGGATTATTAGAATTATATTTTTATAAAATAAAGATAGAGGTAAATTTTTTTTTTTACCAAATTTTGTAAGAAATTTTCTTCATTCCCTAAATCTCAGTAAAAAATTGTAAATTAATAAAAAATCATCATAAATTATATTTTTATAAATTATAATAAATTCAAAATTTTTAATTCTTAAACCAACAAATTTTACCCACAAATATTTTGACTCTCACATCTTCACTTTTTGCTACCTTAGTTCCTTTTGACTTAACCTTTTTGTTTAATAGGTTTTTCTTAATTTATATTTAGTTTACTTTATTTATTTACTTATTTGTTAGGTAAAGGTTACTTTATTTTATTTTATTTGATTTATTTTCTAGAAAAAAATACTTAGAAATAACTAGTTTTTATAAAATACTTTTGGATTTTTTTTTTTTTGAGTTAAGAATTGAATGAATTAAAGTATTTTTATATATACCTAAACCAAAGAAAGTATTTTTGTATACTTTTACAAGTATGAGGATCGATGGCATTTCTTGTTCTCCGTAAAAAAATCCCTCCTAGATCTCTCTATCCACCAATGGTGGAGAAGAGGATGGGAAAGAGATCCCTGCCCTTTTGAGGACCCATTACCATCCCTAGTTGAAAGTTCTAATAATAACTAAAGAAAAAAATGTTTATTAACCATATTTATAAAAAAATTAAATGAAAAAATATTTTATAACTATGTTATTTTAATAAAATTTTCATTGAGAAAAAAAAAAAAACTAAAACATCTTAGTCTTTGAAACATGAATAAAACTATTTTAGTTTTTTCTCAAAATACTTTATTAAAATGATGTTGTTTTAAATGTTTTTTCACCTAATTTTTTTGCAAATCCAACTTATAAGCACTAATCTGATAAACAAAGGAAAATGATTTATAGACAACCTTTTTGCATCAATTTTTTGTACAATCTTACGAATTGTTTAAATAATTTGTTCTTTTTATGCATTTGTGATTTGTAATATTGAATACATCCATTTATTTATTACATATATAAATTATATACAAAAATTATAAAAAAAAAATTATTTCTATATTATTGTCCACAAACAAAGTATTCTTTAAAGCTAATTGAACTAATAATGATAAAATTATTAATGGGTATTTTGGAAATTTTTTATTACTATTTTTAATTTTAAAGCTTAGTTTGGCTGTATATAATTTTTTTTAAAAAAAAAATCCTTAAAATTTTGTAAAACAAAAAAATATCTAAAATTATGAATCGTAGATTACTGTATATATATATATATATATATATAAAGCCCTCAAGGAAAGAGGAATCCAAAAGAAAAATTAAATAATTAATTTTTCTAATTTATACTTTTAAGGGCACAAGTTGGTGAATTAATAGGGTTTTTTTTTTTTTTAATTTGTGTCCTGAGAGTATAAAAGGAATTCTAAACAAGGAAGTAAATAATGGGTTTTTTTTAA